GTGCCTGAATTTCCAACTGCAGAGGGAAGCGTTGAATTACTTTGCAACATCCGTTCTCTCTTGTTGTGCTCGATGATCGAGTAACAGTAGCATACATTGAGTTTTGTGGCAATTTTAGCAAAAATGAAAACAACAGTCTCGTCACAATATTTTAAAGGGTTGAATTTGGCAATGATGACTCTTTGAAAAAACCTGTCGATATCACATTCCCACTCGCTATCTCCATTTGCTATATCATCAGCCAGTTTGATCAAATGTTTATGTCTGAAACAAAAGATGTAGAGCAATGCTTGAAATGTTGCATAAAACAACTTAAAGCGTTCCATACCTCCAGATGAGTTTTCGTTGTCAAAATCAAAAACCTCATGTTCACGTTCGGTGATATACTTGTTGAGCCATCCAATGAGATAACTTGCGATGAAAACAATCTGATGCTTTGTGAGATTTTTCGCTCTCGCAATGTATGATGACAAATATTGTAATGCTTTAAGCCTCTTTTCAGTAGTCTCGTTCGGATTGAATGCAACATCAATAAGCAATACCAAGTAAGCGTCCGCCAACTCGGGTTGATATTGAGAAATGTGAAACAAGAGGAATTGAATCGATTTGGTAAAATGCGTAGGTAATATGTGGGATCTGAATAAGGATGTGAGGGTATTGAAAAGTGTAACTCCGTTCCCATTTTCAATCTCTTCCCTCGTGAAAGAACTGGATGTCATTTGGAGAAGCAATTCTAATGCTGAGTCGAGTTTGGAAACCATTTTCTTGATATTCTTGGTTGAAGTCATAGTGTACACTTCCCCATCTTCATCATCTTCATCATCTAGGTTTTCAAAATCCAGATTCTCTTCAAACTCATTTGCATCACCATTTATCAACTCCTCGATGCTATCGTCATCCAAGTTGTCCAACTCATTTTGCAACTCCACGTCCAACTTGATACAACACTCGACAACTAGTTGCCAAATGCTGAACTGCAAGTCTGGGCAGTATGAAATGACTTTCATAGCATTTCTCATGTAATTCGTAATTTCGTTAGTGCTCGCCGAAAGATGATGAGGTAAATTCTTTGCCAACACCGGTGGGATCGAGCTGATGCATGTAGGAGTGAAGTTAATGATCTTTCGAAGAATTGTGTGATGAGGGTATGTGTCATCAGCTATGTCCGGAAATTCCTTGATTAACTTTTTGATAACCTCGTGGAGATATTTCGGAAACGAGGATACAAGAACTCCAAGAAATTGAGCATAGAACTCCAAGAATACCATAAAATCTGGTTTCTTTCTTGACGCCGGAGGAATATCCAACCATTTGTAATGCAATACTGCTGTGATAAGAGCAGAGGATGACGCAGTATCAAGTTTCGAGACATTTACTATTAGGTTTTTCAAAACTATACTGAAGTTTGATAATGAAATCGCCTCATTATGGCCCATAGGCAAGTTTATTTTAGCAGCCAAAGAATTGATTTGAATATTATCGTTCTAATGGTTAGTAAACATCCAGATTATTGTAGAAGGCAAATGAGAACCTCCTTGCTATTTCCAGACAAAAAGAAATAGATAGCACAAGGTCAGCTGAGATCACCAGTATTACGCTTGAGCCCGAGGGTTAAATCCTCTCAGCTAAAAGTCTGGCTATAGTTGGAAACATTTGAAGATCTGAACATACCTTTCCTAAAGAATCCATTGCAGATTTGACATAGACTGAATACATCTTCTCCGAATAAACGTCCGCTTCCAAATCCGGGCGTTGCCGCTTCACTTCGGGACCAGAGTCCGAATCTAGACCTCTTTTTCTACCAGCAACTTCAAGTACTGACATAATCATATTAAGTATTAAATGAGGAATAAAGAATCGGAGATGAGATGGGATATGATGTACTTTTTTTTTAGTCTATGATGTGCAGGAAGCGAATGAAACTGTGGAAGATCTCCATCACTTTTGAAATATGTAACATACTTTCCGAAATTTCAACAAAAAATTATACTGCAACCCCTGATTCGTATTCAGTATAAGTCAATTATGGTCATCTTTCACAAATCTACAACTCTTATATTTGATACGTAATTTTTATGATTTTGTTTTAGTTCGGCGCAATATGCGGATAAATGAAAACACGAAGTAAATATCCTGTACCAGTTGTATTATGAGACAACAAGATATTTGAAGTTTAAAAATAAAGAAAACACTTAACCAAATCCATTCACTTCCAAAATAAAAATCTTATCAACTTACACAGTTACAGATAATCAATGTACCTCCGATAATCAATTGCCCCCAGAAAATTGAGTCAAACGCCATTTCTCATGGTTTCACAGATTTTTATAGACTGGCGATTGTAGACTGGCGAGAATTACAAAGAGAATCAGAGAGAACATAATGATGACGAAGATTTGAGGGATATGAAACATTATTTGACGAGTTCTAATGTATCTGATGAAAAAAACCGAATGTTGGAATTGTGCGGAAACCACACTTGTATAGAAGTAGATAAGCTTGATCCAACGCTATTGTTTAGTTGTTGTTAGGAAGGACGCCACACACCAAAATTATCATGCCTTCTGTTTCAATACGGCCAGTATCTCTATTTGCCATCTCTGACCATGTTTCCAGAAAATCACCTTTCGAGTATGGAGTGTTGATAGGTTCACAAACAAAAGAGAACATTACTGTTCATGATGCCTTCGAACTCAAGACAGATAAAGATCAGATTGATTTTGCTTACCTTGAAAAAAGGCTAGGCATGATTCTGACAGTGAGCCCGTTTGCACAGTTGGTGGGACTTTACACAATTGGGGAAGATGCTACAATACCGGAGTCTTTTTGGGAACAGTTTTCGGCCAAAGAGGTAGTTTTTCCTTCAATCTACTTAACATGCAACGGAGGCGAAACTGTTTGCTTTTGCAGCCAAACTAGAGAGGAAATAAGATGGATCATTGCATCAGGTGAAACTGACGAAATAGCAACAGCCACTATTCACAATCATAAAAACTACACATCTGGATCACAAGATCTAGTTTCAGAGCCTAGTGACTCACTATTGACATCTTTGGAACATTTACGTGATCGAGTCCAAAGTATAGTGGCAAATGATGAAACTGATGTTACAACGGAGCTGAAATTGGTTCATCTAGCCAACATTGTATCAAGAGCCCCTGAAGATATGAATGAAGACACACTACTGTTCTTTTCGGCGAAATTGGCACTTCTAACTAACCAGATATCCGCCGTGAAAACATTAGACATTCTGAATAGCCGGAAGATCGCTACGTATCTGATTGGAGCGATGCAAGACAGACCTCGATGATTACACTAGCAAACTGAAAGCGTATAATAAATTACCTAGAATTGCAAAACATGTGCTTTTCCTGGCTTGTGGGAACAACCCTAACGTGCACTTGATTGTGACGCTTCTTGTACCCGAATATCTGACCAGCCTCTTTGGAGCCAAATTTTTTCTTGAGTTTCAGGTAATACAAGCCACACGCGTTACAAAGAGTCCTTGAGCCGTTCGGTCCACATCTCCACTCTGGTGTTTGTGTCAGAAGACATTGTTTACAAACAGCACTGGCCTTCTTCTTTCTTCCTCGCTTCTTGTTAACTTTAAAATGTGGACTATAGGGAGGCGAAGCAACTTGAATCTCTCCTTGATGGAAACTGGAGCTATTACCGTAGGTGAGAATCCTCTTGGCATCTAGCAGAACGTACTGGTGAGACCTAGGAGAAATCAGGGTTTGTGGTTGATGAACTTGAAATTGCAGAGAGGCAAAATTGATACCTTCAAAAGACCTGGGCTGGTTTGAATTTTTATGGATTGGGGTGATCGGCCAGTGCAGAGGAGTGGAATAATTATTAATACCAGCAAGCATTTCGCTAATGGATGGCAAACGAGTCAGCAGCTTCATTTGTGTTGGTTTGGGATGATCTGAAGAATCGCCTATTTGTACCACGGGAGGTTGCCATAAGGAAGGGAAGCATGATAAACTTTTATGCTCCCACAGACTGTTGTACATGATGTGACTTGACTTTGCTTGACTATGAATAGGATGGATTACGAAACAAAGATTTATCAGGACTACATTCCACAAAGCAAAGCAGCACCTAAAAAGAAGTAGGAAACTACTAAGCAGAACATAATAATGAGCAGAGTAAAAATTAACTTGATATGGGGAAGAGCATCAAGATCTGGTTACTGGAAACAGGAAAGTTGTAGTATGCGCATACTTTAATTCACTGCACCGAAAAAAGGTGTACAAAAAAAAAAAAAAAATAAACAAAACAAAAGAAAAACCTGGAACACAATACTATGATCTATCTACCATTAGTTATACTGCTATGAAATATGTAAGCGTGCTGGTCTTTCATTAGGGCAAATTAATCAGGTCTGGGAGGCAGATTTAGCGATGCAATACGAAGAATGAATCCCTTTGCAAGTCTACCCAGGCTGAAACGAGACTAAAGTGCAATGTCTAAAAGTAGCCACGTCAAATGTAATTAATTTAATTTAACGATGCATGCTTGATATCGATAGTGCTAAATTGATTTAGGGATAGACTGTTTCATTCCACTTATGTCAATCCTGTACAAATGCAGGGGCTTGGCCTTTTTTTCTGTTTTCGATTTAAGAAGTACGAACCCCTGGCGTTTATCTACGCTACCTTGGAATGAAAATATCCAAATAATAATGAATTTCTTTTACGCCCTACAGCATGCTCTATGGTGCACCTGAAATAAGAACATGGATTGCTTTGCCCGTCTGGAGGGAAGAGACGAGTGGGCTCACAACCTGCATACCTTGAGTTTGGTCTAGAATGTGTTGTTATGCGCGTGTTTCAGAATTCTTCAACCTGAAACAAGCACCGGAATTCTGTATTTAGATCCCATTATCGGCTACTTTTGGATAATAAGTTAAACTTTAGGTCGCTTCAATTACCGCCAGTTTTTCATAATCACCCCTAGAAGATCTTTTAACTCAATCCACCTTTTCCGCTCATTGCTTTCGAACAGTTTGCGCTCCGCTGTATAGAAGGAATACCGTACATGCGATGTCTGAAATCACAGAGGAGGTGAAGGAATCTCTCCGACTTATCGAAGATCTCAAATTTTTTTTGGCTACAGCACCAGCAAATTGGCAAGAAAACCAAGTCATCAGAAGATATTACTTGAACAACGATGAGGGTTTCGTGTCCTGTGTTTTTTGGAACAACCTTTATTTTGTGACGGGTACTGATATTGTTCGCTGCATCCTATACAAATTCCAGCATTTCGGCCGTACAATCACAGACCGAAAGAAGTTTGAGGAGGGTATATTTTCTGACTTGCGGAACTTGAAGGCTGGCTCTGATTCTGTTTTAGAGGAACCGAAGCTGCCGTTTCTCGAGTTCCTCTACAACAACTCTTGTCTCCGCACTCAGAAGAAGCAGAAGGTATTTTACTGGTTCAATGTTCCGCATGATAAGCTAATGGCTGATGCCTTGGAGCGTGATATCAAAAAGGAAAAGTTGGGCCAGACACCGACCTCAGTTGCCGTAAGGGAACCAGCGATTCTGTTCAAGTATGTGGAGGACAAGAAGAGATCGTTGTACGATCAGCTCTCAGAACACTTGAATCCACAGAAATACGATGAATTTTCCTTCAAAACAGAATCCACAGATGACCTAGCCTCGCCCGAGTACAATTTGAAGCAGCCTGACCCAGGTCCCCAAAATATCCCACAAGAACAAGAAGATGAAGACTTCCCTCTTGATTACTTAGACAGAGGCGTGAATGAGCACGACTATATTAGTCTAGACTCTAATTACTACACGGGGAAGTATATAAACTCACATGACACCAATTTCGAAAGCATAGATCCGGGGATGTTCCTGAACCCAGTTAACGTGGCAAGCAATGACGATTATCTTATTGAGCACACTGTACCATTGAAGGTTGGATCAGCCACTCTGGTATCATTCCCTCGTCTGGCAAGGATCCTTGACGATCAATCTGCATTTTTTCCATATCCATATGCGCCAACTGCGACTGGCTCGCAGTTCCCACCTTCTGCTATGATTGCGCAGTTTCCCCCTTCTATGTTCGACGCCAGCTACTTTGTACATGAACCAATGATGCATGGGAATTTCGATGTTGATAGTTACCCTTCTGCGGGACCCTCAGCCATGGCGGCAGTTCCATCAGTTGTACATTTTGAACCCCCACCACCGGCCCAATTTTATGGACTATATGACGATGTTGAGTATATGAGAATGGCAGTTCCATCGCAGCGACAACAGGAAATAAGTGCCAGTATGATGAAGAAGAGAAAGCAACTACAGAAAACTCGTCGTGGTGTTTCTAAACCAGGCAAGAATAAGAATCGAGTAACCGAATACGAAACTAAACTTCGTCAACTCACAACAGACCAAGAAAATTTGGCGGAGTCGCATGTTCCCACTCCAGAATCATCCATTGTTGTCGCATCCGATCAACACCACTCATGAACTTTTCATCTGTTCTATCTCCACTCATTTCAATTTCTTTAGGTGAATTTGTATTTCTAATAGATACCGGTAATTCGTAATCATAATCATTATACACTCAAGTGGCTAAAATACTCAACCAACCTTTTTTGTGGACCTGAAAGTCCTTTCAATATTTCGTCCTCTAAGCCTTTATCAGATTTTTCAGGCGACAAAGACACGGTTCGAAATCTCACTAACCCGAAACGGCCCGCATGATCCTCCCATAGATTTGGAATGCAAGCTTTCGCATTTCTGTGTCATGATGATTAATGAACGGATTGAGAATATCACGGAGCTTCGTCACCAAATCTTTGTTGATTTTGAGTGTAAGTGTTCCAACAGACATTAACTTAAGCAAACATTCTAGCGCAAACAACGTCGATTTCTGCGAAACATTCTTCGAATCTCTCAAGGTATCGAGAACAATGGTCGTTAGTTCTCCGCTGGAAAAACTGCTTCGTAATGCTTCATCAAAAACTTCCCCAATAGCAACCATCATTTCGAGGAGGGGATCAGTGTCTCCCTTACTAGATATTAAAAGGAGCATTTGCCATAATTGGCCCAAATCAACTCGCTTTCGACTTATAAAGATTTGCTTTAAAACCAATAACAGATTCATCTGATTCTCAAACGTGGTCGACTGAAATGATGCCCATAATGACCGTTCTAGAAGTTGATAGCCTTCGTTGTCGTAAAATTCAGAAAATTCAGCACTTTGGTTTCCTTGGATAAACATGAGTAGCTTGGTCAACTGGTTAGTATTAACTGTTGACTTATCCAATTCTTTGCATAACATTTTGAATTCTTCAATGCTTTGATCATTGCCTTCACTAAAGTGGCTTTCCAAAGACAATTTTGCCACCAGAAAATTGAACCAATTAAGTTCTGAGTAGCTGTACTCCTTCGCCTTCTCGGGAGATCCCATTTTGCAATCTTCAAAAATGAATATAGGCTTATTCTTACTTGAAAGTTTGCTGAGAGGATCAACCTTTTCAATGAACGTTTGGATGGTGTTTGTAGGATTTGTGAGTTTTACTTGTGCAAAATCATCCGCCAACTCATTTGATGAAAGCGAAGACAGTGACTTCGTAGTATTTTCCTTCTCAGTTGTCTCTTGTGAATAGTCTTTTTTGTTATGCTTCCATTCCTCCATGTGAATGGAATTTCTTTGAGCTAAATCGTGTATAGCCAATGGTTCATGCTTTGATCCAGAGTTGGATACATTTTTTTGAGTTTCCATCAATAGCCCAGGTTCCGAATCTTCCATAAAGACATCCTTCTCATTCCACGGTGGTTCCTCCTTAACTATGCCAGGAGAGTTAGTTGCAATTGAGTCATTATCTTCCGCTTTGAATCGCTGTCCATATTTTTCCATCTCTGCATCCTGTATTAAAATTGCCCCATCCGACTCAGAACGAACAGGCATGAGCATAGTAAAGTCTGACGGATTTTTAAGTGGTGACATTTTGAGATTTGGATGCCCAGGAGCAATCTCTGTCAATTCACTAACCGCATTGAACAATGTGGTATCCTTGCCATTGAAATAGAGAATATTATCAATACCCACGAATTGCTCAATCTCACTCTTACTAACTTTGCTTGCTGTGGATAACTGCGTCGTAAACAAAACGGAATTGATACTATAAAGCCTTTTCAATAAAGCTTTGTATACATCATAGCTTGATGTTGAATGCACAATGGGGACCAAATCGAACAAGTTTGCAGTCAACTTAGCAAAGTTGACATCACTTATAGGAATCTTCGCTGATGCTTGAAGTAAAAAGTTCAATAACATGTCGAGTATTTTATTCTTGAACTTAATCACCTGCATGACCAAAAGTTTGTCGTCCACAATATTATCAAGATCTGTTATATATGACACTAGTGTTGAAACGGTCGCATAGAGGACATCGACGTCCATTACAGAGATGATCGTATTCACAACTCTTTCGGTCAGAGATAGTAAGATTGCACATAGTCTCATGAAGTCCTCCGAGGAGAAGATACTTTTAGTTTTGTTAAGAAGATTGTCGCCCTCTGAAAACAAGGGACGCAACAATTGGGGATTTGTAATGGAAATTCGTCTAATAGCATTCAAAACATCCTCTGTCAAATCTTCATCGCCGATTATTGCGTACCGTAATAAGTTAACACCCTCCAGGATGAACTCATCTTGATTGGAAGAAAGAAACTTGATGAGAGGGTCTGTTTTCTTGTTGAACGGAACGTGCCTCTCAATTACGCGATTTGACAACAATCTATGGGCGGCTTCAGGAGATGATTTAGTCTTCGAAATTAGATCCTTTGCATGATCCGCAGTATGTTTTGTAGTTCTCTGGACAGGATTGCTTGAAAACCGCTGAGAAAATGTGGATTGTGCATAATGAGGAATAGCGGGAGCGTCAGACAGAAGAGACAAACTGGGATGACTGGAAATTCTCGTTTGCTTATGCGTAGTGCTTGTTGCATGTTCAGGTTGTAAATTATCTGGACCATCCACACCGTTATCTGTTGGACGACGAGGTAAATTTCTGGAGCTGGACCTCGATTCCGTTCGCTTATTCTTCAATTCTTTATTTTTGGCTATAATGGATTCCTTCAACGACGGTTTTCTCTTTGACAAAAGAAGAGACGGTTTTGTGCTCCCAAGAGACTCTGGTAATGATCTTTCCAATGCTCGCAAAACATTGGCATCGAGACCTTTCAACAATTCATTTGCATGCTGGGGAAGAAATTCATTGTATTTCTTGTAAGCCTCCTTTGCCGCTTGACGCACTTGAGAGCTAGGGTCAGATAATAGTTTCGGTAAAACTTTCTCAGCCACATCCACTACTACTTTCTGTTGTTCCGTGTCCGAAAACCTTAGTATCATGATCTGCATCCAAAAAGCAGAGTAGGACCTGGTCGTAGCGCTCTTATCGGACGAGGCGACCACAATCTTATGCATTAGTCTAGGGTGGAAAGCACAGTTTGAAAGAATTGCACAAACAACCACATGTGCATTCGTAGTAGTCAAATGTTTTGTTGCAGAACATAACCTCATTAATGTAGGAAAGAAAACTTCGGCCAAGGGATCAAAGTCATCGCCGAAAATAAAAGTCATGTCCTTAACAAGTTGACAAGAATTCACGTTTAGAGTTGTTCGTAGAGATAATAGGCCCTTACATATTCCTTCTGCAATTTCCTTAATTGCTGTAATCATAACTTGGGGGTAATCGTTAGGCGCGTTTCCCCTAAGAAGAGAACGCAACTTTAGAATGCTCTTCTCACGGGGCAACCAATTCTTTTCTGACTCTTTGTTTTCAAAATTGGGAAGCATTTCCGTGACTATCTTGTAAATCTGATTTTGATCGCTCACGTTCACAACAGCAATACCATTGTCGAATGCATAATTTGGGAGACGAGAGAGTAAGTTCTCAAGCTGAGATGATTTCGAATCAAGGGGCACCGCTATGGTCTCATCTTCTTGTGCAAATTGTTGTAAAGGGACACTATGTTGTACGCTTGGCGACGACCGTTTATTCAGGAGATGAACGACCAGCCGAGGCCTCTCTGGCTCTTCGAGGGCTCCTGATTGGACGTTCTTCTTCACAGGAGGTTTAGGGTCTACCTCACGGGAAATTATGTCATCGGTTCCCATTATAGATCTTCGTAGAGCAGTGTTCACATTGTGTGTTTCCAAAACACGCTGTAACTCGAATTTGCGAAGATTATTATGTTTTAAATCATAGTAGTTTGCGAACAATGTTTTGATATTCTCCACAATGGTTTGTTGAGATTCATATTTTTTGAGGGTGGATGCAAGCACATCGAAAAATGTATCGAGTTTCAAGTAGGGATTGATGGTTGTAAGAATATGATTGATCCACACTATGCATTCATTTACAACCAATGGATTTCTATTGGACAAGCCAAAATCAATAAGACCAGAATCAACCTTGGAAGAAGCAGAAAGCCAATAAGCTTCCAAGGCTCTTCCAGCGGCGATCTTAACATTTTGTTTAGGGTCAGCCAACTTCGGAATGAGTATGGGTAACACCAAAAAACTCTGCTCCAGGAGCAAAACTCCGTCATTATCTTGGATGCTGACTCTTTTGACCAAATGGCAGATCAAGCTAAATGCTAAAGTTTGAAGTGTTGAATCATTTGAGTCCATGACAATTGAAAGCGACTCAAAGTACTTGGGAACATGAGTTAGACGGACATTATCTTTCTTGACATGCCGTTTTAGCTCAGAGAG